ACACCTGTGTGGATAGACAGTTGTCTTCCTTCACTTGCCTCCTCGAGTAGACGACAAGCGGCGGAGTGTAACAGTCATTTAACGCTGAGTGGTCAGTTGTTCCGTTCGGACACAGCCACGATTGGGGATGATGATCGTGAAAATAAAGTGCAAACGGGGTCACCTCCCCAACCCTTCCTTTCCTGCCCCTCATACTTGAGGGCCATTCAAGAAAAAAAGATTAATTTATTGGCAACGGCTGATTCTCGCCCTGTCCCTCTCTCAAAAGTTCATCGGTAAAAATTGATGGAACAAAACACTGCTGTCCGACTACTGCGTCGGGAGCAGTGACCACCGCCGCGGGCCTACACCTCCTATTCATGCAGGACAAAAAAAGAGGTTCGCAAAGGGGTGGCAGAATTTGGACGGACATGGGTCATCTGATTACTGAAACCCGATAACCTCACCGCCCGCTGCGTTCGATCGTGTGAACCAACCGCTGCCGCCCGATGCTCAACAACCGTGTATTCACTCACACATAACAGTAGTGAGGACGCAAATGGTCACTGCATCGCTAATTAAATTATTCAATTTGCAAATTCACTAAAGTAAAAGGCAGTACGGGCCTCAAAGGCCCTGTGAGAAAATGGAAGAGGGTAGTAACCAGGGCCAGGAACAGCGGCCCAGTCAGCGAAGGGTATCGACCGGCAAAAGTATCGCAACCAACCCTACATGCAAAAGTGGTTTAACTTCGACCACTTTTGGCCTTCGTTCTGCGAATAAGACAATTTCGTCCCTCTCCTCCATTAACTAATCCAAACTTCAAGAGAATTTCGACCCCAGTCTTAAGCGAATCCCGACGGGTAGTCGACACCTTATTTTACTTCCGGAAGGACTGCCTAGAAATCGAAATAAATTTTTTACCCATGAAAGAGGAATCGCGCTTGTAAAAACTTCTAAGCAAAGTCACTGACCAGTCAAATTTCACAAATATAGATTTTCATGCATGAAAAAACAAAAATAATTGAAATTCGAGACAAATTTCGCCCCTTAACAAGCAAAGAAAGACATCGAAACAGCTTTTTTCAATCCTTTCCGATGGAAATGCGTAAGCTGACATCATCTTCTGCTATTCTCAACCTACAGAAACCCGGAAATTATAAATAAGATGGCAATTATAAGCTTTCAGTAAAGTGAATGAATATGGGAATGTTGTAAAGTGTTAAGAAAAACCAGGAAGAGTAAAAATCACACAAATTCTTTTTACAAGACAAATAAATATTTCTAAATAGCACTGAATTCCTAGTTGAAATTTTTGATGAATTTTTAGCTCATTTTT